ACCTTCTTTACAATGCAGCTGGAAATACCAAACACCAGCGATCATTATTCCACCATTCATGGTCCACTATCATAGTTAGTTTCCTATGGTATCAGCTGCCCAGCCTTATTTATTTCTTTAATTTGTTCATCATATTTTCTTTTCTTTTTTCTTTTTTTTTTTTCTTCCCCTTCAAGCACAATTTGCAATCTGGAAATAATGACCAAAATTCTGTCCATGCAGTATATAATAGCTCACTTTCCAAACACAAGCACTAGAAAACTCATTACGAAGTATTTCATAAACTTCTGTCACTGCAGTAGGAAGTGACTGTAAATTATTACAGCTTTTCCAATTTAATGAGTACATTTAAATCTTGAAGTGATGGTGTTACTGTGTGCACTCAGCACAGAGATTTAAAAAAAAAAAAAAAGAAAGAGAAAAGAGAAGTGTATTTCACATTTACATTCACACCATGCAGAGTAACTGGTAAGCACTGATGTTTTTCAGATGAGCATACATTACTTAGCCTGCCACATGAAGGCATTCTGTAATTTGTAAACTATTTTAAACTCTACTGGAATTCAAGTTTTCTGTTTATTTAAACATCTTCAAAGAACTAATATACAATCCCAAAATTTTTGTTCTCAGTCTTTGGTGCATCACCCTGTACAATTTTTAATTCTTCCTGTCCCTCCTGTAATTAGAAATTCTAGTGTTTTCCACAACCTGTCACACAGCATGCTCACAGCAGCATTCAAAAAGTATTAACTATTTTATGACTATTTGTGCTAAAGAGTTTCAACAAAATCTGTGCGAGAATGTATTTCTACAGCCTTCCCCAACAACAGATGACAAAAATCTAACCATTAACACTGCCTAAATTAACAGGAAAAGAACATTTCCAGCATTTTATCAATGTGGAAACAGATGTAGGCACAAGAGAATATAGAATGGCTGAGAATGGAGGTTTGGTATCTGACTTGATTCCCTTGCTTTGATGAGACTGGGAAGCGAGTGCCCCCTGGTGCAGAAACGTCTGGTAGGCATGAAACCGCCCATCGGACTTTGTAACAAAAAGTAACTCATTTTCTTGTTTCTGATTTAGTTGTTCTTCTGTATCATAAGAAAAGCTAAATTTAAGCAATAAGAAAACACTGAGAAAAGTTATTTATGTTTCAAGCATTTTACTTGCTTTAAAATAGTTTTTCATTCACAGATGAAATAATATTCAAAAAAATGAAGTGGTTCTTAAAAAGAATGGTTGCTCAGATAGACCTCCCTGTAACCTGACAAGGCTGGATAGTGATACAGCACACAAGAAAGACATTTCCTTAAAAGTGCATTATGTAAAAAGAAGCACGAAGCTACATCATGCAAGCAGTAAAGACAACCAAACGCCATATGACTTACATGACTAAAGATAAAAAGTTCAAGTAGGTAAATCCCAAAATGTCAATATTAAAAAGTAGCATTTCAAATTATTGGCGTACGTTTAACTTAAAGCATGCTCACAAAATGCAGTTTAAAAGACAGTTTTCCCCAACATTCTGTGAAGGGACTAAATATGAGAATGTAAGCAAAACATTGTCTGCAATGAATAGTTCAGCTATTGCTTATTATTATAAAAAAAAAAAACAAGCACTCTAATCTATCACCAAGCTGTAATCTTTGGATTTGTGCATCTTGCTAGTAGTGTTTTCACTGGATTTTTCAATTGCATTTCAATGTAAATACATGGCAATGGTTTAATATCTTTACTGGAATAAGTCTGTTATAATTTTTGAAAGGCACATGCAAGCTTACAAGAACTAACTGCTATGTAAGGCCATTTTCTTTAGGTTCAGGACACAGTATTAAAATACTCTTGTTATCAGGACAGTTCAGGTAAATCATCTGCACTAACTCTTCTGAGAATTCCACAAAGAGCAGAAAATATCTTCCACGATCACATTCACAGTTTCAAGAGATTAGTCACCCTTTCAACCACCAGTATTTCGAAGCAGCCCTGAAAAATGAGTTGTTACAATTATCTCAAAAGCTTAAAAATCCTTACTATTCTAACAGCTCAAATTATTTTGCTATCTATATAAATGCCTAGTCTTTCACCGAGTCTTGGTGCTCCCTGGTCCAGTGATATCTTCAGGCTAATTCTCCATTGTTAGAAAATATTTTTCCTTCAGTCAGTGTAGGAATGACTCAATTTCAATTTCATCCAATAAGCCCTTGCTTTAGAAGACCAGAATGAGCTGTCTGGCCAATTCTCTGTATCTTTCATCATTCTGGATAGATTACCATTGCACCTCTGACTGTGTCTTCCCTAATGGCTGGATCAAACAATCTCTGTCCAAACATACATTTTATTTCCAAATAAAAATGAAAAACCGAAAAACACCACAAACACCTCCCCAGCCTCCAAAAAACCCAACAAAACAAACCACAGAAGAGCAATCTTAAAATTAATCTCATGCTTTTCCTTGAACAGGACATTAGTAAGAACCTTCTTACACAATTTCTTGACGTTACCCTAAGCTACATCTCCTGGTCTCTTCCCTCACTTTGTATGGAAGCTTTCCCATTCCCAACCTAACTAATGACCTAAACTTTGCTTTGGTTTTGTTTCTTTTGACACAGAGTAACCAGAGCTGAATAAAGCAGGCACCAGTGATTTATATGTGATTGTTGTATCTTCCCACATTGTTCTGCTTTGTAATCCTTTCAATATTTGCCCTTCACACAGCGTTGCTTATTAAAACAAAGAAATTTTAAAAAGCTGGACTTTCAAAAAAAAAAAAAAAGGCCAGAATTGGTCAGGGATGTGGAGGCTGGTAATAGCCTTGGCAGCAGTGACCAGGAGATGGTGAAGTCTGAAATCCTGAGAGAAGTGAACAAAATGAATACTGAAGCAGCACTGGACCTCAGGAGAGGCATATTTTGGCTTTTTCAGAGATCTGCTTGGCAGGATCATACTGAAGACTGCTTTAAAGGGTAAAGAGGCCCAGGAAATCTGGATATCTCTCCAGGGAGTTCAAACCAGCAGAATGATGCATGCCAATGTGCACAAATTTAAGTGAAGACGAGTTAAGCTAATATAGATGAAGGCCAACAGGAATTAACTAGGGACTCCTGACTTAGTTCAAATAGAAAAGGAAGCAAGCAGCTGGTGAAATGGGAAATGTTATGCAGAGCAGGTATATAGTGATATTGCTGCAGTGTACAATGATGAAATTAGGAAACCCAAAGCTCAGCTGGAGAAGAAACTGGCAAGGGCAACAACAAAGGCCTCTGTAAGTGTACAGGCAGCAAAACAAATCACCAAATTGGAGGGAGTTGCTGAAGGGCAGGTTTGTGATTCAGAAAGCCTTCGACACACTGAAGAAATGCACTTCAAGATCTCATGAAGGCCTGCAAATGCACACGCAAGGTCCTGCACCTGGGATAGCACAGCTCTAGTACAGTGCACTAGTATAGCCTGCGGGGCAACTATCTGAAAACAGCTTTGCAGAAGACAACCTAAGTGTTGAACATGAATCAGCAATGTGCCCTGGCAGCAAAGGTGGCCACAAGCACCAAAGGCTACTAGCAAGAGGGTAGCCAGCAGGTCAAGGGAACTGATAATTCCCCTCTGTTTAACATTGATGGGACCATACCACTGTGTCCAGTATATGAGAGACACTGACATACTGGAGCAAGTCCAGCAGATGTCCACCAAAACAAGCAGGGGCTACAACAGATAACATGCAAGGAGAAGCTAAGTGAACTTGTTTGCTTGGTCCTAAGAACAGGAGAGATTTTACTGCTGTCTTCCAGTAGTTAATGGGAGGATCGAGAAAGGATGGAGCCAGGTTCTTCTCAGATGAGCACAGGAAATAGAATTCACAGAATTCAGAATTCACAGAGAATTCAAATAAAGTATATAAAAAAAAATAAAAATCACTATGAGGGTAGTCAAATGCTGGAACAGGTTGCCCAGACAGACTATGGTATCCCCAACGCTGCAGATAACCAAATCTGTACTGGACAAGGCCCTGAGGTCCTTATGGTGTCCTGAGGTCCTTTCCAAAGAAAATTATTCTGTGAATGTATTCTATGGTTCTGTGAATAAGAGAAAAAACAGCAACAACAACAACAAACCCCCAACACAAATACACACTCGCAAGATATATGTACTGATTTTCAAACTTTTCTGACTCTTCAACAGAACTTGTATCAGGCATCAAGAGATAAAAAGTTGTTTTAAAAAACACAGATTTTCTTGTGAGATCCCTTAAAAAAAAAAAAAACTATGATAAAACCTCATCAATGTTAGTGTAAATGAAATTATATGAAAATATTGACTATAATCAACAGGAAATAGGCACAAGAAAGTCTCTAATATCGAAACTGTATTTTTAGCTAATGCATCAGAGGACATCTGACAACACAGTAAATAGTATCAGATAAATAAAAAATATTTTGAAAACAAAGCTGTTATTTCTTAAAAAAATAAAACCAGAGTGAAAAATGTAACTGAAAGTACTATTCCAATGTAATTCAAATTTCTAAACTATATCAAAATCAGAAGCATTCACTTTATTCATTTTTCTAGGCACCCACATGACAAAAGCACAGGAAAAAAAAACAAACTATTTTTAGAAATGAAAAGAACTAAGAATATGAGATGTTGAGAGTCAATAACAGTATAAAGATTCTTAGTGATATGGTAATACAATGCTCTAAGTGGACTGAATTTTCACACTTTTGAGATTTCTTCTGGATTTTGTGCACTTGATTACTTCTGTCTATATAGTGAGGCAGCGCTAATTTATGCCTTCCTACGGGGATGACGGCTGTCTGTGCCAGCACCAGAAACTGAATCAAGAAACTCCAGAGCTAAAAGCTAACAGGCTACAGGCTCTTAACTCGAACTGCAGATCCATATTTTATTCATAACACCAGGTACCTACACACCAGCTTGTGAAATACATTCTTTCAGCATTCAACATTTTTATTTCACTTACTAAAAAAATTACGTATCTTACCTTTAGGTCACTTCCTGGCAAAGTACCTATGCCATCCTTCCAGTCCATAGCACTAAATACATCAAACTCTTGACCATTTCCACTAGAGGCAGATTCGTTCATGATGCATGTACTAAAAGAAAAAAAAAAAAAAATTAAAAAAATGAAGATTTTTATCTGAAAATGCTGTAAGTGTCTTAATTCTTGTAACACCAGACATTCTTCAAACGCACTTCATAGTCTGGTATCAAATGTTTCTGTCAGCATGTTGGCAATGTGAACAACTGATGACAGTGGTGATAATACACATTAATGCAATAAAAGGAGAAATCTTTGAAAACCTTAAAAAATAATACCTGTTTAACACACTGGGAGGCTATTAGCGAGGCTATATTGAAAAGAAATGAGAACTTTCAAACTGCAGATAAATTGACAACAACTAAACATACCTCAAGTAAACCTAAAAACCCATTTGTTCCTGGGAAAGCAAGACCCAAGTGCATGCCTAAAATAAATATATTAGGCACTGACTAATAGACCTGCATTCCCTTATTATTTGGTAACATGCTGCTGTGAATGCTTCACCCAAGTTCAATCTGAAATTTCAAAATTAATTTGAGATTGTCTTTCATTTTCACCATCTGACTCAGGAGACTCAAACATTCCTTGTACATACAGTTTCACTAGATCTTGATTTGCATTTATAAGATTTATTTACATGGAGAGAAGCACATATACACCAGAGAAAACTACTACTTTGCAAGAGTTTATTTTACTAGATCCCTCTGTTTCAGACCAGTGAAAGGAGAGAATATTTATCTTCAGAAATACTGGATTTGAACATCCTTTTCTGTAGGCAGAGTTTAAACCAAAAAATTTGTACAAACAGAAGTATATAACACTTGCCACTGACCCCTGACATTGGCCCACCACTTGACAGCATCAGCTACACTGGATTGTAAATGTTTCTAGCAGCCAGTTTTGACTACCATCAACTTCTTCCTTTCCACTTCCTACAAACCCAGCAATCTTTGACTCCGTGGCCTAGCACCTAATTTACTGTCTGTTCAATGTGAAATCTGACTCATTCATTTTCCTCCTGAAGAACTTCTGTGCTACACCTAGAAGCCGAAATAATCTGCAGAAAATTAGCTCCATCTTTGGTTTGTGAACTATTAGCAAAAACTCACCCCTCCATAAATTTACACTTTCTGAACCTTTTCACAAATGCTTTCTAAGCCTCATACTCTGTCTGTAGACTGCAAACTTTTGCTGCAAGTATTGGTATTTGAAATTCAAATAGGTAGAGAGCTTCCTCAGTGCTTGACCTTGTTTTCTAAAATCTAATTTCTAACTTAGGTCCCAGTCCCAAAATCTGTAAATATCTATTAATACGCCCTGGAAATCTGGAATTTAAAAAAAAAAAAAAAAAAAAAAAAAAAAAAAAAAAAAAAAGACTTAGTGGTATTTGTTCACTCACAGATAACAGAAAAAGATGCAAACTAAGCAGAAGTAAACTCAGGTCATCTAGAAGCCTTCTACTGAAAGTCTGAGGGGAAAAATGCTTAGCTAGTTAACCCCGTTGCATGAAAATATAATCCAATTTACATTATTTTAATCAGAAAAATTGTACCAAACGCAGTAACACCACCACAACAGATACTGCTCTAGTTTTGGGTCTACAATGTGGACTCCCTTGTCTTTCTCCTAGGTTTCCTCTATATTCCCAGCAGAATTCTTTAAAACCCTGACCACCACCTTACTCCAGGAATACTTTGGTTACACTAGAGCTGCTACACAGTATCAACCAGGTAACAGGAGCTGGATCCCAGTCAGTAACCACTGCCTAGGGTGAAAGCTTCTACATTCCCCTTATCATACAACAGTAAGGGTTCATAGAAGGCTCTTCGAGAAAACTTTGTGTATTTTACATGACAAGCTTGAAGTTAGAACCACACGACTGTGTCTTCTCCATCTCCAATTTCAGTAATCCTCTGTGAGAAAGTACTGAAAACCATACCATTGATGAACAAAAATTTATTTTAAAATATGTCAATAAATCTGAACAAACTCAGTGCAAACTGAGAAATTCCCAAAACCAACAGACCTTATTTTTTAAAAGCACTTCCAGGCAAGATCTGCCACCCTACCTCAGGGCAGCTCCTGCAATACAGCTTGGGCGATCTCTAATCCAAGAGCATGATACATTGCAGAGCTCAAGCCCACCAAGCATCCAGGCTTCCACACAGCAGCAGACCAGCTCAAGAAGGCTTCCACAAAACTGAACTGCAGCACAATGGAAGAGGCGCAGGCCTTCTCTCAAGAACGCAAAACTCAAGCTGCTAAGGAGTAGCTGAAAAATTGCATCTATCCAGAAACTTGTGAAATTTTGAGGACATCAGTAAACTAGTGCTTATCACGGGTAACAAGCTCCCATGATTACCCTGGCTAAGGAAACACAAAGCTGTGTTCTGTATTAACTAAAGTTTCTAGGTAATCTTAAATTACCACCCTATTTAGAAGACACTTCACTCAATCCTCCTGTAGTTTATTCGTTAGAGAAAACATGTTCCAATGGTTTCTGCAGAAAGCAGGACAGAAGATGGAAAGAGACCCAGGAGGCTGTGGGAAAACACTTCCCAGCAGTGGCTGCTGTCCCATGCAGCAAGGAGCAGCAGACAGGCACTCCATCAAATGCTGGTGTCTCTCAATAGTGCCAATCTTGTTATAGACACACTCTGCAACAGAAAAACACCTACAAAAAAAATGACACGGGGGAAAAAAAGAAAATATAGAGCCCAGCGTACTTAGGCAGGATGCGAACTGTGAAAGTAAAAAAAAAAAAAAATTAAATTGAAAAAAGTTCAGGGCATACTTCTCTCAAGAAAATATACAGATTTTAACTTATTTACACCTAACAAAGGCTCCTCAGGTAACAATCAGCAATAATAATCTATTCCAGTGTTTGATAAGGTACTCATTAGTGTTTCCCTTTTAAAATTAATTCAACATCAAAGACACAATCTGTACTTTCACACACTGCAGCCTTCAGAAGTGTTCTTGGTGGAGATGAAAAGGTCATAGGGCAACACAGATAGAAATTAATTTACCAAAAGGAGTAATATTTAACAAAATATGTTTCCAGCTTTGTTGAGTTTAAACAGATAAAAGATAGGACTATTTCCCTCTGCTAATGATAATGTAGAGTGAGATAGAGACCAATTAAATTGTTACAGCAATAAGATACTAAAAAAGGATGAAATCATAGCAATATATACACCTAAATCACAGAACAAAGAAAACTACCGAATGTCTTACCTACTCTTTTTTTTTTCTTTTCAAGCTCTGATGTAGTTCTTTGAACCAGTGTAACTCTTTCCATAATGATTTCATTTGCTATCATTTCTGTTGCTACACTTCCAGAAAAGCAGTAAAAATATTCAAATAACTAGATAAATAATAATAATAGGTTAACAAGGCAAAGCAACTACAGTAATGTTCCTATGCCTATCACTGAATGCCACCTAACGTGAAGGAAAGGACATAAAAGTAAGAACTTGGAGCAGTCATCTTCCAAAAGCATCTCCAAAATCTATTAGGGATGTAGCTGTATCTCAGTCTTCACAGCCATAAGCTGTAAGATTTATAGAGGAGTTTGCTGCATGTTAATATTTCAACATCAACTTTGGTTTAGACATATGTAATAAATGAATTAAAATAAGCAAGCATGTAAAATAAAATTAGACACATCTCTTAGAAATAACTTTATTTTTGCCAACTGGTTCAACAGTAAATGAGTCCCTCACAGAGGACGTAACAGCACTAAAAATTAGATACTTTCATCTGTTGAAAGACTCTCCAAAGATGTAAAGTGAAGAAATAGGAGAGAATATGCCAATTAAGCTTACAAGTGGTTTTTGAAAAAGCTACAGGGTCACGTACTGAATACATAAAAAAGTAATAGGATACTTTTTTCAGTCAGTGCTTTAAAAACTACCCGATACCTAGCCAAATTTTGAAAATCTAAGGTGCTACCTGTGAAATGTCTGTATGATTTCTAACCAGTGGGGCCAACCCAATACCAGGTCACTGGGCAGCAAAGAGAGGAGGTTTCAGCAGCAAAGCCACCAGTCAGCACTGCCAGACTGGCATAACCGGTCTGCAATGGCATGTCTTTTCTTTTCATGCATCTCTGTGTACTTTTATTTTTACTTTAGAGGATTTCTACAGCCACCATGACAGGACAGCCTAGCAGATTTCCTCCATGCTGGTCCTTTCCCCAGACAACAGCTCTTGAGAGAAGAGGCAAAACTGTCTGTGGAGCCAGAGGAGGTCTTGGTAAGTGGCACCAAGGGTGAGGTCCAAGGAATAAACAGAGGTCCTTATGGAGCCGAGACATGGTCCCTCTTCCCCACAAGGCTCAGTGACACCACCACTGATGGATGTTCAGGAACAAAGGCAACAGGTGAGTTTTATATCCTAACATCACAGATGGTTATTTTGGGCACCTCCAAGGAGGAGGCTGCTTGGTACAGCACCCATGGGCAGAAAAGCCACATTTTCCCTAAACAATAAATCAGGAAAACAAAACAGATCACAAGGGACAACTTGGTGTACCAGATCTGCAAATATACTTACTCTATACTTCTAGACACCAAGGGACAAGTGGATGCTCAGCTTCAGCTTTACTTGACATGTAAGAATGTGAATACTTACCAGGGCTCACTTGTTACACCGCCGAAGCCACACAAAGCAGTAGCTGCCTCTACTTCAGAGAGACTTTGTATTAAGCTAGCTTCATGATGACAGCAAAACCAAAGCCAACTCACTGTAAACCCAGAGGGGAGAGCTCTGTTTTTCTTCTCACAATCCCCTCTTTGGCCTGGGTGCACGCAACACTTGTTTTTTTTAATCACCCTTCATCTTTTTGCACCTTAATCTTCACTGAAAGAAAAACAACCACAACAGGAACAGTGCAGGAAACAGTAAAAAGCTTTGAGGCTATTCACCACATTTTAATATACGCTTTGCTTTATACCTGTTCAATGATTCAACTATTTTTTTGTTTCATTAAAAATGATATCTGTAGATGACACATTTCCTCCCAAGTCTCCTTTTTTTTGTTGTTTAGGAACTACATTACCAGTTCTGCCATTTTTCTGGTCTGTACGCTAAAGAGCTGTTTGAGTAAATTTTACTAATTTGCCAGTTGCTTATGATGTTTATTACCAGTAAGTTAATTTAAAGGTACATAGCTTCTATACACACTCACAAAGGGACGACAGCTTAAAAATCTTTGCCATTCTTAACACTTGTTACAGAAAACAGACCAGATTTCCAGTTGATGAGGTCCCTTCAGCATTATTTCTTCTTCTTTATCTGTTGCTACTCTTCTGCCTGCTAGATTCTTCAGGGGTATTGTGTCTGTTTGTTCCTGCTTCCCAATACTTTAGCTTAAAACCTTTTTCCTCACAGGATGAATCTGGACATAGATGCATTCAAAATGCTGTGAAGCCCGAGTCTGCACTAGTGCTAAAGGAGATTCATGCTGTTCTCACCTGAGTCTTACCTTTGTCAGCAAGCTAATACAGGTATTGCTGTAGCATCGCTAGAAAGAAACGGGGTAACACAGTTACATGTAGCTTCATCTACCACCTCATTTTCAAATATCCACAGAACTGTACAGTAACAAGTTACCCAATATCAAAGCTATCCCATCATCTAATGAAACAAACCACTAACAACTTTCATCTTGTTCATAAAGAACCTGCACTTCACACCAAAAATTATTTCCTCTGCAATGCTTTCATGGCTTTTATTTCTGTTATTGTCTGTGCAGGCCTCGGTGGAGGTTTAACCTACTCAGATAGCAACACCTGAGTACAACAACTCTGAAAAGTCTTGGTTTCTCTTAACTCCTTGAACCAAGCACAGAAAGTTACAGAAAATTTCTGCCTTTGTGTATCTGTGACCCCTTTCCTGTGCAGACACTTCCTTGAGAGGAACTGTGATGCACCAGATCTTCTCACAGAATATCTATCACCTGACCTATTTCATATTGTTATTTTTTACACAAAGTTAATTCAATGTATGTCTGAAGGCTCCTTTTGTCTGACTCATGACCTGCTCTTCCTCTTCTGCCAGTTCTCAGCAGCTTCCATGAGCTCTGCTGTCCTTTTAACAATTAATTCACCTTTTTCTAGCTCCTAAATATACTCAACAGGCTACTGCATTTAGAGACCTTCCCTTCTCCCTCATAAAGAGTTCAATTCTCCCATTGCAATGAGCAGTCTTACCATTGGACCACTAATAAGCTACAACTATGCACACACACTATCAAACTTCTCAGGAAGCCCCATGCCAGGTAATGACTGGGTCCTCACACCCACCACTCGCAATCCATCATCCTTACCAGCAGTATTTAAAAACCCAGACAGTAAATGGAATAGCCCACAAAAAGTCAACAGCCTCTCTTCACAGAATAGGTGATGCCCAATAAAACTGAACAAGTCAGAGGAAAAGGACTCATCACATAATCATTTTCTTAAGTTGCTAGAACTTTTGAAAGCAGCAGTAGAAAAACTCATTAAGCTGAAGGTGAAACATACACCACAACAACACACAAAACCAGAGTTCACTTCAATTGTCCAACTGTCAACAAAAAACATCCAAGATGATTGGTTTGGGCACCTTCATTAGAGCACCAGTTTAGGAGAAGACCAACTGTATCACAGTCAAAACTGCTGAAGTCACACCAGGAAAAAATGAATACCCGCACCACCCGATTTAAGCAGAGTGCTTTACTGCGTTCAGCTGGCGGTTTCAGGGAGTTTCTCTCTGACAGATATTCATCACACAAACTTCTGTGAACCTGATAACTTCCTTGGTAAAACGCACCAGTTTCCTGAACAGCTTTGAAATTTGCATTGAGAAAACTGTGCCACAATCCTGAATGCAGACTATTTCCGAAAACAGCACAAGCTGAAGTTTTTGTATCCCGAGTTTTATTTATGCTCACCACCTGATTTTTAGCACCCACGACTAAGCACCCATTCATGAGTAGAAACAAACAGCAAAAACGGTCAGTCCAACGCCACTCAACCACACGAGGGAAATTAAGAAGGAAAACAGAAAAAAGTGAAAATGGAACTAGTGGTACCCTTCACTGTAAAGCTTACACACACACCCATGCTATTAATTAAGTACAGGTAATTTAACACCATGGAAAAGGCTGTGACCCTCGGCACCCGGGGAGGCTGCCGCATCTCCAGGGGCCTCCTTCCCCAGCCGCGCTACCCGCTGCCGCTCGCACCGCGCTCTCCACTGGGACAAGCGACACGACCACGGGGCGCGCCCCGCGCAGCTCCCCACGCAGGCCGTGGGCCGGGCCCACCCGCGGCGAGGCGGCTGGGAGCTGGCGGGCCCGGGTCGCGGCCGACCCGGAGCCTGCCCTGCCTCCCTCCCTCCCGCCTTCCTTCCCTCCCTCCCGGCGCGGCGCAGCGCGGCAGCCGGAACGCGGCGGCGAGGCCCGGCGGGCGCGGCCGCCGCTCCCCGGCGCCGGCAGCCCGCGGCCTACCACCAGAGGTCCCTCCTTGGCCAGTTTTGCGGCGTGTTTTCGCTGCACTTGAAACTTTCTGGAGAAAACCCGGGCTCAGGTCCGCGTCTTCCCCAGGCTCGGACAGAACCTCCGAGACAAAAGCGCCCGCCCGGCCGAATCCTGCGCGGAGCGCTCGGGGAAAGCGGTTCTCAAGTTGTTCCGTTTCTCTCCTGAATTTGCCTTCCCACACACACCCCCACCGGGGGCAATTAAAGGCAGCGGAGGGGGAGTGCCCCTGCCCGGAGAGGGGGCGAGCGCCGTGCAAGGGGGTTGGAGAGGAACTGGGTGTTAAATGTTCCTGAGGAAGTTGCACAACGAGAGAGGGACTCTGCTTGTTTACCGGGTCCTTGGCTTTTTTAACTCCCAGCCCTACCCCCCCCCCCCCCCCCCGCCTCCTTCCGCCCCCCCGAGAACGGAATCCGGGAAAAGGAGGCTCTTTCCTAGGGGAAAGGAGAAAAAAACATATATTTGAAAATTGAAAAAATGTTACCTTCTCCTCCCTCCTCCCCTCCCCCAGCGCGGAGGAGGAGGAGGAGGAGGGGGGCGAGCTCTCTCTTTTTTCCTAGGAAACTGTTGGGGTTTGCTCCCCGGCCGCTCGGAGCCGATCCCCGCGCATCCCTCGGCGGCGAGGTCGCCCCTTCCCGAGGGCGGGGCGGGCACACACCGCCCCCAGAGGGCTCGCCCCCCGCCAGCCCCGCAGCCGCCAGCGCCCGGCCCCGTGCTACAACTTTTTCTCTCACGCTCTCGTGTGCGCCCGCTCCGACGGGTAAAGGGGGAAAAGCCATGGCGGTGGGCAGCGGGCTCCACTGCGGCCCCGGCGCGGCGCCCCCCCCCCTCGGGCGCTGCCGCCCCGGCGGCCTCTCCCGAACCCCGGCCCCGGCTCCGCCGGAGCGCCTTCCCGTCGTCCGCCTCCACCCCCCATCCCTCCAAAAATCGCTTTCCGCTTTCCCCCGGCCAACAAAACACCACCTCACACACGTTAGCGAGAACAAGTGTGCCCATATCCTGTTATGTGCACCGGCTGCGAGGACGGGGAGGGAGACACGCTTGTGCGCGGGGGCCGCTCCCCCAGCCCGGCCGCACTCCAGCCGAGAGCGCGCAACTTCACAGGAAAGCCGCGTCCTATTCCCTGCCCCCAGCCCTCCTCACCACCCCCCCAGCAAAATGCGCACTCACGTGTATGTGCACTCACATACACCGCCGGCACCCCGGGGCAGCCCCTGGAGCCCCCCAGGCCGGCCCGCGGAGCCGCCGGCGGTGACAGACGCCGGCCCCGCCGCCACCCGCAGCCCGGAGCGGGCAGGGGCCGCTCGCCGCCGCCTCGCGTGTCTGCCGCAGCGCAGCGAGCGCCGCGCACGCACCGCACAGAGGCAGGAACTGAGCACTCGAGCTAAAAGACTTTTTTTTTCGCCTCTTAAAAAAAAAAAAAATGCTAGAAGCTTTTTTTTTTTTTTTTGGTATGTGTATGTGTGTGCAAACTTTCCCCAAAATGGCGGAAATTGGGAGATGATTATATTTTAAATATCTCTCGCACACAATCACACAAAGTGCAGGAGCGACGGAAAACACAAACTCCGCTGAGCGCTGAAGAGGCCTTCGCACACGGGAACCCACGGCACATTCAACCGGTATATCCCGGCAGCCGCCACCTCCCGCCGCTTCCGACCGAAAAACAACCCTGGGCTCCTTCACACCCCTCTCCGCTGAGCATTGCCCCCTCGCAGCCCGCACTTCTCCACGTCCTTCAGTCTGTGTGAACAAAGAGCCGGGGCTGGAGAGGGGGGGCTCGAGTGGCAGCGAGCCCCCTCCCTCCTTCCTTCTTTCCATCCTCCCCTCCTTCGCTCCCAGTCCGGCGCTCACACGCACACCCGTGTCCGTGTCCGCGTCCCCCCTCCCCCCCCCCCCCCCCGCCGCTGCACCCGCATCACATTGTTCCCAACAGCGCGGCGGTGCCCCGTAAGTGTCATTAAATGGAGCCAACTGACAAGCTCATTGGTGGGGCAAGTCTGCAAAATGTCTCTCCCCTTCCCTTCCCCCTCACTTCGGAACCCACTCCCCCCCCACTCCCCAAAAAGGCCCCCCCAACACATTTCCACAGCTCCCTCCCCCGCAGATAGATATATATGTACATACACATACGTGCGTGCGTGCCCGTGTGCGTATATAAATACACAGCGCATACATCTACCCATGTACACCCTTCGTGTGTTTGGGAAGAGAAAAAGAAATACCAGGCACCTCTCTCTTTCTTTTGTTCCTCTTTCACACTCGCACACTTATGATTTAGTGCGGTCCCCTGTGCCCCAGCCGCTCCCCAGCCACTTGCGAGTCACTTGCCCACTTTCCCCAGCATTAACTTCCATCCTCCCTGCCCGAGGTGGTGGGGGAGAAGCCCCCTCCCCTTCCCCAGATACGTTTCGTAAGGGAGGGAGAGGAGGTGCGCCTCTCCCTTTATCTCTCGCGCTCTCTCCCAACTTTCATCCTCACCGAGGGGGAAAATCAAACCCCATCGCCAGCCTTCGCCGCTGCCGCTCCCTGCCCGGCTGGCGGATTAGCTCGGAACCCGCCGCTCCTTACCCCCCCAAATTCTCTCTCTTTTCTCCGTCTCTCGAGTAGTTCTGACAAATATGGTCCAGGGCTGCGGGCACCAGTGAGCATGCGCCCGCCGAGCCGGGGCTGGGGAAAGGGGAAACGGCCGTCGCCGCGGCGGTTCTTCCTCCCTCGCCCGCGCTGCCGCTGCGCCCCAGCTCCGGCAGCCGCCACTGGCCACCGGCCACTTTCGACAACCGTCACCCTCTCCAAAACCCCGGCCGCCGCCAGCGGCTCCGGCGGAGGTGTATCATCTTCCCTGATTTACTGCCGACGCCGGAGGAATAATAAGGAGACTTGTGCAGCAGCCGCGCGCTATTTTGGGCGCCTTCAAAAATAATGCCTCGCACTTTTGGGGGAGAGGGACTGTGAGGTTGGGCATCGGCCGCCCCGCCAGGTGCTGCTGAGGCCGGGGGCTGGGCCCCGTCGTCTCCGTGAAACGGACCCGAGACAGCGGTGGGACAGTTCCTCCCCGGCGGCGGGAGCGGGGCGTTGAGGGGGGGGGGGGGGGGGGCGCTGCTCTCCCCGCTTCCAGTGAGGGGTCACCGGGGCGGGTCCGAGGCCGAGTCGTCCACAGCCGGGCTCCTCGGGCGCCCCAGAAACGCGGGGTTCCTCAGCATGGTCCTTAGGATGGGCCTCTTCTCGTCTAAAACCTAGCCTGCTTGCACACTAAAAGTAGTTTCCGATGTGCCACCTGCCTGGATTCTCTCCATCGTTGCCCTGCATTCTCAAATAAAAATACCACCTAGAGCACTTATTTTCTGTCACTTGTTGCTCAGAAAACAGTAAAAACTAAAGGCCCTCCTTATTTCATGGGATTGGCCTGGGTGGACTTCTTTCACCTACAATGAGGTCAGTTATGCAAAAGAACACTAAACAAAATAGATCTACATGAGGCCTAGCTAGACTGGGGGGGGTTGGAGGGGAGGAAGAGAGAAGGGAGGATCACAACCAGGTGCTGATATATATATATACACTTTGAAAAATGTATGTCTATACATATATATATCATTTCAGGCAAAGTGTAAAACAACACAGAGCATAGCCTTAATTATACTAGTCCTAATGGGTTTTTTTAGACCACAGAATATCTCACTAAGGGTGACTACATCCTTAAGTCAAAAAATGTCAAAGTGAATTTTGAATTTTTAATGGTTTGGCTTATTATTATATATCTCTTTAAATAACTCTCAAATCTCGATATATGTGTTGTTAATCCCAGTCATGACCAGTGTCCAAGCTTTCTCTTGATTACTACAACAGAAATATTAATAAACACTAATAAATATCTAGGAATAAGTATCAGCATTAAATATCAATAGAAATAAATACATAGCCAAAATGCTCACCTACAAAGTCAGACTCACTAATAAAATGGTTTATACAAGACCAAATGCAATCTTTTTGCTACCGATGATATGTATTCCATTATAGTAGTATCCCATGATGGAGACAGCATTGCACTGGACACAGGCTAGAGGTGCTTCTTCTCTGACAGGACTTCTGAGTCTCAGCTTCTGTTCAGTAGAGCATTTACTTCAGAATGTGTATTAAAATATTTAAGAATCACACTTGGCAGCTCTCTTTGCTCCATGCTGAAATAATTCAGACATGACTTCAATTAGACTTTTACCATACTGTCTTGAGAGTTTCTATTTATTTAAATCAATTTTTCTTCACAACAGTAAAATGGGGCTCACCCATAAGTGTTTGCAGCATTGGTGCTTAGGCAAAATAAATGGGAGTTATTTTATGATGAGCATTTCTCACGCAGCTTCAGCTCAAATGGCATATCATATAGGCTGCAATTTTTGTCAATGAACATACGTTCATTAGAAACTAATTACAGAAAACAGTATTAACCTAATTGTAATGATTAGTGATAACATAGATTTAAACTCTTCTAAAACACAGATGCGAAATATAGTAAAGGATGAGAAAATTCCTACTTTCCACCAGTGTACTGTCAGCTGAGGAAATTCATGGGTTAGAAACAAAGAATAAACTGTAACTGAAGTCATTCAGTATTTTTCTGAAAATTATTTCCCAATGTTATTGAAATGGTTTTATGCAGATAGTTGCCAAATAACCAGATCATACTATTGTAGCCTTAAATTAGCTGGGCTCTGCAGAAGACTGTTAAGGAATTATACAA